ACTTCACATAATAGCATATAAACTTAAAGATCTACAGGCGAAAACTAACAAGGTGTCGGAAGAGAACTGTGGCGGAGACAGGACTTCAGATAAACACGAAAATAGCAGAGGTGAATGTATTAAACCACCACCAACAACAACAACCAATCACCATCATGGGGAGAAATTTGAAGGAGGTGGCTTTTTCTACTTAGATGGATGTTTCAATTACAGACGGTGGCACAGATAGGAATCGCAAAGACAAGACAGTTCTTTATTAATCTGAAATCAGTGTAGAAATCTGGTGTACTCATTAGAATAAAAAAACAAGACTTTCAACACTAATTTCAAACTAGTTTGTCCATATGGTTCAGAGAGTAAGCGCATACGTCAAAAGAAGCATTCTTAACAGACTAATGCTGACTTTTATCAACAACTGTCTTTCCTCGATACTGAAGACTAGATCACATAATATGCATACATACAGAAAGATTTAAAAAGATGGAAATCAATCAACAGACAGAATATCGATCCAGTATCACTCAGTAGGCAGTATTTGAAAAAGATACAAATCATTTCTATTCAATTTCATCATAAATATACTAATGGACTTAACCCTAACTCACTTCAGCGACTCAGCGATTGACTTGTTACCACCAGGGAATAATCTTGTTGACTCAGAATATACAGACGATATAGTCCTTCTAGGCGAGGACGCTGACAAAATCCAGTAGAGTCTTCTGAACACCTTGAGCTGCAATTTACGAATGTCTGGAATACGATTCGCTCCCATCAATGCAAGATGATGTTAAAGGACTGGACCACACTTACTCCTAGTTTAGAAATAGGGAATGTAGTGGTGGCTAAGTGTGTTGACCACTTTATTTATTTGGGAAGTACCATCAGCCAGTGGGTTGATCTCTGACAAAATCTCAGAACAGATACAGAGGGCTTGGTTCGCATATGCCAGTTTACGCCATCTCTGGCGTAGACGTGATATCTAGCTGGTTGTCGAGCAAACGGCGTGTGTACTGCTCAGCAGTTCGCTCCGGCCTCCGTTATGACTGTGAATGAGACGTGGATAATGAGAGTGGAAGACATGAGAAGGCCGGTTAGCTGTCTGTGATCATAAGTGCCTGCGCTCTATCTCCCATGTGAAGTGGTATAATAAAGTGAGCAATATTGAGGTTAGGCGGTGAGTGCTAGGTAAGAAGGGTAAATCAATCGACGAGGCTGTGAAATTACATCGACTGAGATGGTTAGGACATGTGTTGCGCATGCATACCTAGCCAAAGCTTTCCTCGACAATAGGCAATGTTAGCTGACATACGGTCAGGCTGTAAGAGCTAGCGACGGTCAAACCAAAACATGGCTTCATCAGTCAATGAAATCCACAACAGTTAGTTTAAGTCAGTCACGTAGGAAGGTGTAGACTTCCTGATTGAGGTCCTCAGGACGGTTAACACCAATGGCTGGGGATAATCGTTGATATGGCTGCCGATATGGCATGCTGAGAATTCCATACTTGTACCGAAAATACGGTGTGAAATCAGGCTGTAATCAAATCAAATAAATAAGTAACCCGGCTACAAGGAAAGCCCGCAAAACATAAAGTTACTGGAACCCGAATCAACAGTCTACAAATTCTACCAATTCGTGATTTTAGCGCGACTAGCACCAGCTAATGCCATCAGCGAGTATTTACTCTGACTCTCGACCCCACTGGTCAGAGTTGGTGGTTTCCCTAAGATTCACGAATCAGTAGAAGTTAGAAATCATGAGTTGGCCATTGAATTGAGTCCCAGTAATTGTATGGGACAGACGGTGGGAAACGAGAAGATAGAGATATCCTGGACCGACCGACGTGAAGAATCTAGAAGACCTGGATTTCGCGCGTGGATGATTTATGTTTGATGTCACTGTCACAAAATCGAAGACTTACAAGCGAAAACTGACAAACTGGTCAAAGAAGCAGTCGGCGAACACAGACAAGACGGAGGTTATGAAAATAACCAACCGACCAACAACAACAACAATAGCAGAAACATCTAGCGCCAATCACCATCACCACTACTCGCCGATGCCTTTTCGTAATCTCCGCCCACGCCCCCACTGACTGCAGTTCAGATGAAAGGAAGGATGAGTTCTACCAAAAGCTGTCTAGTTTGGTGAGAAAGGCTAAACGCTCAGACATAGTCGTTCTAGCTGGTGACTTTAACGCTCAAGTAGGGAAATTGTGTCAATCTGAGAAGGATGTCGGTGGCACCTATGGAGTTCCGTGCCAGCGAACCGACAACGGTGACCGTCTACTACAGTTCTGCTCTGATAATCATTGTTTCTTGTGAGCACTAACTTCAAACACAAGGAGAGACACTGTTTGACTTGGAGACCCCCTTCGTCAAACCAACGCTGGACACAAATAGACCACATAGCAATAAGCTATCGTTGGCGTGGGTCGGTAGGAGATTGTCGCTCCTTCTGGAACACGTGCGTAGATACCGATCACGCACTGGTCCGCGCTCGTGTGTGCTTACGACTGAACGGACGTAGGAAACAGCTGGGGGTAAAACCATTACGTCCCCAGCTCGATCAGGAAACTAAATCCCTATTTGAGGAAGAACTAGCTAAACGCATATCTGAGTTCGACAGCTGTGCTCACCTGGAGAAGCCTGGAAGAATATTCAGTCAGCTATAGATACAGCTGTAAAAGCTATGAATAAGGCAAATCCAAAGGTGAGTAAAAACCACTGGATTTCGACTGCCTCATCCGAACTGATAGATGCTAGAAGACTTATTCCGGCGAGCTCCGAATTCAATGAGGAGCGAAAGCTGCACAAGAGGAAACTTACGAAAAGTTTCCCTAAGGACCGTGAACAGTGGTGGGTGACTTAAGCCAAAGAGATGGAGAAAGCTTCGAGGATAGGCAACACCAGGCAACTATTTAGACTCATCAGGGAAACGGGTGGGAGAAGACAAATCATTAGTGAAACAATCTCGGAGAAAAACGGCACTATAATTAGCTTCCAGGACAGACGACTGGATCGCTGGAAAGGGCTTTATGAGGAACAGTTTAATTGGCCCACAGCCCACAGCCCATATAGCCTTCTGACGTCGTCTTTGATACTCTCTTCGCTGATCCGAGCGTAATTGACAGTGCGGATATAGGGTCAGGCTGGAAAAAAGCTAGCGGCGGTCAAACAAAAACTTGGCACCAGTCAATGAAATCCATAACAGTTGGTCTAAGCCACGTAGGAAGGTGTAGACTTCCAGGTTGGGGTCCTTCGGACGGTAAAAATCTATGGTTGGAAACAATTGGTGACATGGCTCAAAACCGTTCTCAGTGGCTGGCGCAGATGCATCTACTCCCTGTGACTTATGATCTCCAATGAAACTGTTTTGTTTTTCTTTATTACTCCTTTGTCTCACACCTCTGCTCACTGTCTCTATTATGCTTTTCTTGTACTTTCTTCTCTTGCTTCGCATGCTACACGGAGTGTGGCGACTTGAACTTCCACACATTTGTGCAAAGTTCTATGTCGAAAACAGACAGACAGACAGAATCACCATCAACGGGAGGGATCTGAAAGAGGTTACTTCATTCACTTATCTTAGGAGCATTGTCTCAACTACAGGCTGTCGGAACGGATGAGGGTGTAAAATTAAGAGAGAATCGGGAAGACGAGGAACACATTCATCAACCTGAAACCAATCTGGAAATCTTCGTCACTCAACTCAGCATCAACAACAAAATTCGGTCGGATTTTCAATACAAATGTCAAGTCAGTCAGCTGTTCTATACGGATCAGAAACTTGGCGAGTGGGTCACAAAGAATATTTCCAACAGCCTGTTGCAGACCTTTATCAACAACTACCTGTCTTCCCTGGCTCTATACTGAAGATCAGATGGCCGGGTCGGAAAGAATCACCAACAAGAAACTAGCTATGGGAACAAACAAAACAAAAACAGAAATCGCCAACCAACAAATATGCAGGAGAAAGTGGAGATGGATTAGACACTCCCTAAGGAGGCCGCCGCTGGGTGACATCACGCGAGCGTCAGGCCACTGCTCGAGTGGAACCAGGCCGAAAAGGAAAGCGGCAAGTTGGTCGTCACTGCAAGGTTAACATGGAGCAGATCGTGTGAAGAGGTGTAGAGACAGTATGGACTAACATGGATGCAGATGAAAAGTACAGCAGAAGGATTACAGAAGTGAGAAATAGAGACGTGCAATTCAAATCCTATATTCCACTAGGAACCCAAAGGAACAAAACTACAATAATAATGTTATGTACTGGTCCAGAAAATTAATAGTCCTGACGCAAGAAAGACGGAAATCAGAAGACCACTAGGCTTGCGATGATACTTCTATTTTCCAAAACACCAGGAGAATCAATCTGTCACACAAGAGTGTGAGAGCAAAAATATATGAATGTCCGAACAAGTGTGTGAACGAATATTCAAAATGAACAAATCAATAGACAGTCTTAACATGATTGGCTAATTATAATGGAATATCGATCAATATATATACATAGCAAAATATATCAGACTGTCAAACAAACACACATATTATGTGGATATATATCAAATAAGTGTATGGTACAAAAGCTTGCCTTGTAACCAGGAGGTGCTCGGTTTGAACCCCAGAGGGTGCTTACTGTCGATGAGTCTAAAACAAGGAGGGTCAAGTTAACTGTCCAGCACTCTCTGGTGGCTTTCAATGGTTCTCTAACTGATATCAATCAGTCATCACACTTGAAAAACAAATCAAACTCCTAGCAAACTAACTGTAGAATCCTTATTCCGACTATACTAGGCAATTAATATATACAAAAGCAATAAAAAGTTATACACAGTGAGAAAAAGGTAAAAAAATAAATTTATTATATTTACATTATATAATGAATAAGATATGTGAGAGTTTATTCTCTGCATGATGAACACGTATGAAGCCAGTTCTCCGATTATGATTAACAATACAGGCGGCGTCCTTCTCTACCTTTTCTTCCCCAGGAATCAATTATTCACTTCTAGCGTTAGAAAACAGCGAATAAATTTTTCTGTATAATTCAAAGTAGGAAAGCTCACCTCCGAAGTAGATATTCTTCAAAGAAGTAAATAATATCTTTTGTTTTATTAATAGCTTCAAGTGTTTTCCCATTGGAATCAAAATTCTCTAAAAGCTTTGCTTGAGATTTCTTGTCTTCCTCTAAAAAGGAAATAAGACGGCATTAGTTTTCTGTAATCACAACCGGTGAATTTCATCAGAAATGACAACAAAAAATACTCTGTAGACAAGCAAAAGTTGAAATAACGTCGAAAATCCGAAGCCTAAATAGATGCATTTTATATGAGCTTAATAGTTTCTATTATGAAGCTAAACTTTGATTGGACACTAGTAGCTAGTGTGATGTGTCTAGTCCTTTCTTTGGTGCAGACTGAATTCTATAAGTCAGGTTTGTAATATGGCCAACATTCTTGGTAGCTCGACATCACGGTGCACATTGATTTGATGATAATCGATGGTTGGAGACGGTCGGAAGCAAACCCAATCTCACCTAGGTTTGGTGATGGTTGGCACTCACCAGTCACCAAGGCGTATCTGCAACCTTGAAGGAACTCATGTCCCTTCAGAGATTCGAACCCGCGTCATCCAGTGCTGCAGTCGGAGACGTTACCACTGAGCTATTCGGGCTAGCGATTGACCTCCTGTAGAACTGTAGTGGGTATTTTGATTGAACACTAGTAACCTGACTGATGGAATTCAGTCTGCAGCAAAGAAACGACAAGGCACATCACACTAGTTACTGACTATTTTCTAATCAAAGTATCCACTATAGTCATACAGGAGGTCAATCGCGAGACTGAATAGCTCAGTGGTAACTTCTCTCACTGCAGTACTCACTAGGAGACGCGGATTCGAATCTTAGGGGGGACATGAGTTCCCTCAAGGTTGCAGATACGCCTTGCTGACTGACTGGTGAGTGCCAACTAACACGAAATCTCGGTCAGATTAGGCTTCCTTTTGATTGCCTCCAACCATCTAATATCATCAAATGAAGCTTAACTGTGTGAATAGACTCAGTATAACATACGTCAAGCTATCGTACCGGTGATCAAACAGACAAAGAGCACATTGCTCAACTCTAGAACAAAACAAAAGACCGATGGATAAAGAAAAATCATTCTTATACTACTAGGTCTCACATACAAAGGAAAAACCACAACAGTTATGGCGAGAGATGACAACTTATTTACGGATGGTAATGTGTAATTGTAACATATCCTACCTAAATATTGGACAGTTGAATCAAAAGTTCCTTCATATCGTCACCCTCTCTGAGAGATTCTAAAACACAGGCAAACTTATTTTGATGTAGTTTTGTTCTCTGAGCTGGATGGTTAGTTTGCGAAGCTTTCATCACCTTACTGGGTGACATCTTCAGCGCATACCTCAATTTGAAGTGAGCTATTAGATTTCTCCACGAGTTTATTTATCATCTCAGAAATCACTACAAGACTCTTCAAACCTTTACGAATTGACGTCTTACACAAACCAACAAAGTCGCTTCACTCAATTCTATGTCAACCAAACGACTCAACAGAGAAAAAGACAAAACCAACATCATCTACAAAATAAACTGTAACAACTGCGAAAAACACTACATTGGCCAAAGTGGACGTCCCCTTCGTCTTCGTATCCACGAACATAAGCTAGCCGTCAAAAGACATGATATCCACTCCCTCATTTCACTACACACAGACAACTACGGACACCAATTCGACTGGGACAACGTTCAAATATTAGACAAAGGAAATAACAAGAATGCTAGGGAATTTTTAGAAGCTTGGCATTCCAGTGAATCATCAATCAATAGACACATCGAGATAGACAAAATTTATCAACCAATACGAAAGAAACTTCACATACTTAGGGTCAAAGTTCAAGTCAAAGAAACAACCGGTTCCAATACAAGTAACCTAGAAGGTGTGAAAACACACACAAACAACCAATCACGTCCAAGGTCACCAGGAGAGATGATTAATAAACTCGTGGAGAAATCTAAAAGCTCACTTCAAATTGAAGTATGCGCTGAAGATGTCACCCAGTAAGGTGATGAAAGCTTCGCAAATTAACCATCCAGCTCAGAGAACAAAACCACATCAAAATCATCCACCTGAGCTACAAATCTTCTCTATCATATCTACAGGCAAACTTACCAGCGCGTCAAGCGCTTGCCATATAATAATAGCTCACTGATGGCTAGTGCATTGATTTTCTGAAGCTGTGATGGGAAGTCATGACCAGTAGGATCTACCACTCTATTACGCGTAACTTTTCTGAATTTATAATCTGCAATGCTGAGTGTGAATCAAAGTGTTAGTAGGAGTGTTAGGCGTTAAAATAATCATCTGCAATGTGTACGAAGTAGTAGTCCTCAATATTTGTAAAATAACATTTCATGCCAATGTCATTTTCAATGAGTATTCGCCATGGTCACATATTAACACTCACTGAATCAATCTCTCACTTGCGTCTCGGCCAAAACAAGAGATTGCAAACTATTTTCCTTTTTGAATACGCTACATTCAAATACATTAGTCACTTAACATAAATCTTACCTCGAACTTTATTGTAATTAATCCGATTTCCTTCAAGAGTCATCAACAAATTGTCTAGGAACTCGGATTCTTCTCGGGCTAAAGAAGATTCTTGAACCAGACTTCGAATAGATTTCAATATTATATTCGGGGTCTACAACAAAAACAAGAAGTCGGTAAATATTATTTCGTAAAAAAAGGCATTCTAACACTTTAATATGTTTGTGAAAAGGGTTCACTCGAGGCTAATTACAAATTTGAATAAAGCAAGAAGACAACAACGCCTTGTGCACAGAATAACATCGGACCATCGTTTATCTCGTCGACTTCTCATCAACTACATACAAACTGAAGTGATTATTAAGTTCATGTAGAGAACAATTTTAACATACTTGCTTCCAAATGTTACATGACATCAGTCAGCAGGAGAGACTGTAAGCTTGATGAACACTGCTCAGAAATTACACTTAGATAACAACTTATACACAGAAGAAGATTCAAGTTTAAACAAAACAAAGTCAAAAAAGTAAAATTAAATAAATGTTTGCATATGGTGGAAAAGCAGTTGCATAATAAGGACAAGAGGTGAGTAAGATGATGGGTAACTAATAAATCGAGTAACAATGTGGTGAATTCAACTCAAATCATTGGAACAAGAGACAGACAAAATTACATCATAGCGAAGGGTAAGAGGTTAAAGCCAGAGATTACGTAACTAAATGGAAGGGAATGAGAATAAAGACACTGAGTTACCATTTCAAGTGAAGAAAGACTGATAACTGTTTCCTTTTGAACGCATAAGTCAGGTTTCAAGCGTTTGGTCTCAGACGCTTTGGTAGACCTGAGGGAGAGTTGAGCTATTTTGTTTATTAATAATTTTAAAGGATTTTACTATGTCCACTTCATAACCTGCATCGACGAAGTGCGTGACGATAGCACTATTGAAAGCGTTTGTTCCTTTCAGACGTCGTCCTTTGGGTCAAGTGATCCTTTAAGTTCCCAGTGGAACATAGGACTTTAAGATAGAGCTTTGAAGTTTCGGTAGCAGTGGTGTTTTATTTTCACGAGGTGAGGTTGCTAGCCTCATGCCCAACCTTACCTCTTTATCAGTCTTATTACTAGGCTAGCAAGGTAAAGGAATGCATCAGCCAGGGATCGAACCCCAAACCACCTGCGTGGTTGACAGGCATTCTACTACTGTGCCGACAACGCACTAGGCCTTTTGGTACATGTTCAAAAAATCTTCTTTCTGTTTTCTAAATGTAACTGGTACTGCAAATACATGTAAATTTGTATACATTGTATGAGCTAATATAAGATTGCATCAGAGAGCATTTTGTCCGATAAACGGGAACTATCTTGGCTGCAGGATAGGCTCTGGTTAGCGACGTATTCATTCTTCTGTTGCCTATCCCTCAAGTTTTCCTACGCAACTAAGATCGAACGCTTGAAACCTGACTTATGCGTTCAAAAGGAAACAGTTATCAGTCTTTCTTCACTTGAAATGGTAACTCAGTGTCTTTATTCTCATTCCCTTCCATTTAGTTACGTAATCTCTGGCTTTAACCTCTTACCCTTCGCTATGATGTAATTTTGTCTGTCTCTTGTTCCAATGATTTGAGTTGAATTCACCACATTGTTACTCGATTTATTAGTTACCCATCATCTTACTCACCTCTTGTCCTTATTATGCAACTGCTTTTCCACCATATGCAAACATTTATTTAATTTTACTTTTTTGACTTTGTTTTGTTTAAACTTGAATCTTCTTCTGTGTATAAGTTGTTATCTAAGTGTAATTTCTGAGCAGTGTTCATCAAGCTTACAGTCTCTCCTGCTGACTGATGTCATGTAACATTTGGAAGCAAGTATGTTAAAATTGTTCTCTACATGAACTTAATAATCACTTCAGTTTGTATGTAGTTGATGAGAAGTCGACGAGATAGACGATGGTCTGATGTTATTCTGTGCACAAGGCGTTGTTCTTTTCTTGCTTTATTCAAATTCATAAATGGCAATATATGTAAATGAACTGACTAGAAAATTTGTAAAAATCAAAAATTTAAGGCGAATAATGACAAACACCCCTCTAATAAAATTATAACGCGTCATGGCTACACAAACTTATCAGACAGTGAGTGTATTTAAGAAGTTCTACCTTGTTCGGATTCAGCAGAAAATCCTAATAACAAGACGGAGAAAAATTCAACATATCAGCACAAGATTCATTCGGGTCTCAACGAAGTACAAAATACAACAAATCTCTGCATACACAAATGAGTATGGAGAGAGATACACGACATTCCTAATTCATAGACTGGTGGCAATGTTACAGAGAAATAGAGGCCCTAAAGCTGGTTAAGAATAGTGGTGATAAGTGCAGATGTACCTTCACTCTGCTTATAGAGTTTTGTGTAGGGCTTTCTGACGCTAAGAAGCTTCACACGAATGTCTCTCCTTAGTAGATTACTTCAGGAAGCAGTCCTCTCTAAGGTCTGCAATACTTTTTGTGTCCTAGGCACTCACAGTTAGTCAACAGAAGATTGTTGCATCAAAGGCTTGTAGGAAAATCAGAGTGACCTCCGCATGCTACTTTAACAAGTGTGTTTCGTGAAGTTTATAAAGCACTATGGCGACCAGAATGATACTTTAACTCAATAACTCATTATCATCATTAGCGCCATTGTCCTTAAACATCTTGAGAAAAACACTGTATATTCCTACCGCAGCAGTCAATGCCTTTTTTTATAACTTACGCCTTCGTCACTTAGAACTGATTGGAAAACTTTACGGAGTCTTTTAGTCGGCTTATAATTGGACACATTTCGCTACACGTTGTGTCAGTCGCCTTGTACGGACCCACTCAGATAGCAAAATGATGACCCTTTAATTTCGAAAAACCTCAGAGAGTCGACAAGGATTAGTTAGAAAATCCACAGACGATGCTATGGCGAATTTTCTAACCTCACCATGTTGGTTAGGTATGCTTAGGTGAATAACAACATATCTTTCTTGTATGGGTATCTCAGCGTTATACAAAACACATGCATACATACATAAACGTAACAATTCACACGCTGAACGGAACTCACCGTGACATCATGTTCATCCAAAGCAAACAAACGACAACAACCTGTATATAAACTATTGGCACACAATCTCTCGGCGACGGTTCTGTTTCTGTAGATAAAAGTACATGTTAACAAATCATCAAAAGTAACAGGAAAACAAGTAACAATTAGTGGAATATTATATAGGGAACCCTCCATAAATACGTAAATCCCTTGATAAATAATAAAAACTTGTGCATATATATATATATATATATATATTGAAAATAGACCCAGAAACAACAGCGGACTTGATGACGACATTACTGGAGAAGGTGTGGAAAGAGGGCAAAGTACCCGAGGATTGGAAGAAAGGATACCTATTCAAACTACCAAAGAAAGGAGACTTAAGTCAATGTAAAAACTGGTGCGGAATTATGCTCCTGTCCATCCCAAGCAAAATAATAAGCCACATCATCCTGGAGAGAATCAAACACACTGTCCTGGATGAAAAACTTCGACCGGAACAGGCTGGATTCAGGAGAAACAAGTCATATTTTGATCAAATTGCCAGACTACGGATCATCGTTGAACAAAGCTTAGAATGGCAGTCACCTCTCCACCGCACTCAACTTCATCGACTTTGAAAAGGCATTCGACAGCGTCGATCGAGAGGTCATTTGGCAACTACATCGCTACTACCAAGGTGTGCCACCGACAACTATACATCTCATCCAACAGTTGTACGACAATGCTGCATCCCAAGTAATCCACAACGGGAAACTTACGGAATCCTTCGAAGTGAAGACAGGAGTAAGACAAGGCTGTCTACTATCCCCAATGATCTTCCTGATTGCAGTAGATTGGATAATGCGACAGACAACGGGTAATGAGGAAACAGGCGTAAAATGGACTCACACAAAAAAACTTGGAGGATCTGGACTTCGCCGATGATCTATGTCTCATTTCCCACAAACTGGAAGATATGAAAGTGAAAAGCAACAAGTTGGCAGAAGAAGCATCAAAGATAGGACTTCAGGTGAACATAGATAAAACAGAGATTATGAAGATTACTGGCCAACAGAAACAGCAACTACAACAACAGACAGCAACCAGCATAAATGGGAAGAATCTGAAGGAAGCAACCTCCTTTACCTACCGACCTGGGAAGCATCGTTTCAACTACAGGCGGACGGAACTGATGAGGATATCAAAGTGAGGATCGGGAAAGTAAGGCAAGTTTCCATTACTCTCAAGTCTGTGTGGAGGTCAACAGCACTCAGCATCATATATATATATATATATATAGGGAGAGAGAGAGAGAATTATTGACTGACTGGTTTCGACGTAGAACTTAGTACAGAAATGCACCACTTCAAGTTGCCACACTCTACGAACCATACAAAGGAAGAAAACAGAGATTCAGAATAAAGGTGATAAGCAGAAATGTGACGGACAAAGAATAGTAACATGGAAAAAAGATAAGAGAGTAATAGATATAGGAGACCACAAAGAGTGAATGCATCTGCGCCACTGACAGCGATTTTGAGCCATATCACCAACTGTCTCCAGATATTGGTTCTTCTAATCCCCAAGACCACAATCAGGAAGTCTACATGTCACCACGTGGGTGGCTCAAATTAACTGCCAACGAATCCATGGACTGATTCCAAGTTTCAGTTCGACAACTACTAGCTCTTTTCCAACTCAACTATATGTCAGCTAATATCATCTGTCGAGGACAGCAATGGTTAGGAATGCGTAACACATATCTTAGGCATTTCAATCGATGTAGCTTCACAACCTCATCTGTCTATCTGTCTGTCTGTTTTCGACATAAAACTTTGCACCGATGTGCGACAGTTCAAGTCGCCACACTCCACGTAGCACACAAACCATGAAAAGAAAGTATAAGAAATCCGAAATAGAGACAGTAAACAGAGGTGTGAGACAAAGGAATAGTAATAACGAAGAACAATATGATTTCACTGGAAACTATAAGTCACAAGGAGTGGATGCATCTGCGACAGCTATTGACAACGATCACTTTGAGCAATATTATCAATTGTTTCTAGCCATTGGTGTTTACTGTCCCGAGGACCCCAACCAGTCAGGAAGTCTACATCTTCCTACGTGGTTTAAACTAACTGTTGTGGATTTTATTGATTGATGAGGCCATGTTTCGGTTTGACCGCCGCTAGCTCTTTTCTAGTCTGACCCTATGGTCATAAAAAAATCGCCGAAAAATATCTTCGCTGGGCTTTTTATTCCTTTCTCTTCAGTATCTTCATGGGTATTTTCCACCATTGAAAAGTAGTTAAAATCAAAACTTAACATCAAGTAACCAGCAGTGGAGTCCGGGGTTAGTACTTCGTCCCATTTGAGCCTCGCCAGCTGAACGTACGTGCACAACCCTCAGTGAGTGGGTGAGTGATGGTGTTCCCAGTGGGACTCAAACCCAGGAGTCAAACATTTCGGTCCAGTCAATCAACAGGAAAATCAAAATTAATTTAAACATCTAAAATTCGCGACAGTTTAGGGAAAATAAATTATGACACAGCTGCAAGTGCCCATATCAGTATTTGTGATAGGAATATGGGAAAATAGAAATACCTACCCAGAACATTCCCCATTTTTGATGATTTTCTGAAGTATCCTTTTCAATAAATCATCAGATGGACATTTATTGATTGTTTCATTTATCTGATTCGACAGTTCGTGTTTCATATGCTTCACCTGTTGTAGGTATAGACATAAAAAGGAAATAAGTATAATTGAGAATGAACACAAACACCATTACAAAACAACCGAATATACAAACATATTCATTAATCATATTAGACGGTTGGAGGCAATCACTAGGAAGCCCAGTCTGACCTAAGTTTCACGCTTGTTGGCACTCTCATAAGTCAGCAACTCACATCCGTCATCTTGAAGGAACTTATGTCTCTTATGAGATTCGAACCAATGTCACTACTCAGTGCCGCAGTCAGTGTTGCCACTGAAATATTCAGGCTCACGATTGGTCTCCTGTGGGATTATATTGGATACTTTGATTGGACGCTAGTTACTAACTATGGATACAAAATCAAGCAAAGTTCAACAATAGCGTCCAAGGAGTGCGAACGCACAAGTGACCTTCAGCTAACCAATCATAAAAATGAGGAATGTTTGCTTAAAAAATGATGTATATTGACAAGAAAATGCTTGAAAACGCATTAAACAGGTTATCTTTCTCTGACATGACTTAAAAATACGTCCTAGTTATAACGAGGAGTATCAGTTTCAAAGTTAGACTAGTTTCTGTACATATATTCACCGAGATGACTACAGATGAGCTGTTTTTGTGAATCGTTTATCTCTCTCATCCTGCTTGCAGTCTTCCCAAAAAGCCCTCGGTTGGATTATTATGGTTTCCAGCAAGAGGATAGACGACTGCTTACCAGGAAAACGTGGATAATAAAAAACATTAAAATAAATGACATGAACTATAAATCTATCCCTAATCGTAACCATAAGCTTAATCCTGACCCTAACACTAAACTTAACCTTAATCCTAACCCTAATCATAAGCCCTATTCAAACCCTAACCCTAATGCTAATTATAACCCTGATCCTTAACCCTATTCCTAACCCTAACACATTGTCCAAACAGTACTTAAAAACGTGATCTGGGTGAACTTTGCTCCTAAATTAATGAATAGCGTTGATATTTCAGCTGTGATAATGACAGGTGTCGTTAGCCAATGACTAGTATTGGAGCGTTAACACTCCTGGGACACTATTGTTGAACTTCTCCCAAAATCAAAATATTGCCTTTGTTCAAAGCTTATCAAGGGAGCTAGGTGTATGAAAATATGGATTAAGTGGTATTTTAAGGTTATACACTGTAATGCATCCGGGAACCTTTTTTATAGCGAAGACCTGTATCAACAATAAAAAAGAGGATATCAGCTATTACTCGAGTGATAAGAACAATTTTATGCTGCATAGATTTGTAAAATTTACAAAAATGGCTGAGGAGATTCTCCCGAAATACCAACTTCAAACACTTCACTACTGCTACTAATGTGACGTATGCTACTGATAAGATTTATAAGTAGTTTAAAGCTACAGACCAAATATATATATCATTGTCAAGAATATCGAATGGCGGAGAAATGGATTTAATGACGAAGAGCAGAAATGAACGACTCTTGTGAAACAATTTAAAAACAATGAAAGGAAGACAAAGATGCATAATACGGAAGGCATGTGCAAATTTTGATTTTAATATATAGACTTGTCATTTAATAATTACGTTGTCAAATACGCTTGGTGCAATCATTACGACTAAAGATAGTGAGAATGGTAGTAATAATAAAAGCCTTATATGTAAAATTGTGTGCTAATAGGTCCAATCGTAGAATCACTCGCCAACCATGCCTCACGTGATCCGAGGTCTTATCCCTAGTCTATGCACTGCTTAACCCCGCACAACCAGTAGTAATCATCATAAAAAGAGAAGGCTGGGTGGGAGGCTGGTATTCCCCACCCCCGTAGAAAAAATACCGCTGTGGCGTGTGCCACTGATAAGATTTATCAGTAGAATTGCGGTGAGAACTGTCTGCAAAACAAAACTGTCAACAACAATTTACGTCAACGTTTACGTTCCAAATCTTGGTCATGACAGAAAACAAGAACAAAGCCGAACCTTGAGGAACTCAACAACCGATCACAGCGGACTTAGCGTGGGCGGATACGATTCACTGATATATTAGCGGACTGTCTAAGAAACGGACACAAAGAGATGACAGAATAACCTTCAGCAAGAAAACAACCAATTAGAAGACGTTGCTTCTCTGTTAACAATAACGAATAATAATGTAAATAAAAATCTACAAATATCTGTTGATTTTCTTAATAAACGACCTGTTGCCCGGCCCTTGTCTTCTGTCGTTACAGTATACGCAAAGAGATATTCATCGGCATAAAATCATCTCAGAGAAAGCAAATAATGCAGAGTTGCAGAGGTACATGGGAGACGATGTGAAAGGAACACAAAGAAACACAAGATGAAGGAAGGTCAGGAGTAGCACAACACGTAAGATGATCTGAGCAAATAGTGATTTGGAGATAAGGATGTACATAATTCCGTTATATAGCGATACTAAATCCTAAATAAACATTCCTTTACCAAGTCTCTCGTCTTCTACCTTTACATCAACACTGATACTAAAACTTTAAGGCACAAACTTAAAGTCTTATCTCCCTCTGGGAACGCAAAAGAATAAAAATAAAAAAATAATCTCTTATACAGAAAGATTAACAAACACAACTAACCTCTTCACATAATGAAGGTAAATTAGACAACAGATTTTCAGATTTTTCATGCAACCGTAATATTGATTTTCGTTTATCCGCCTTAATTTATTGGACATAGAAAAAGTAGATTTAAAAAAAGTGTTCTAAGCTGTAGAATTGTGGAAACTTCAATTTCAAACCAAAAGCAAAACTGGCGGCTTGAGAATGAAACACTCAAGGCCGTTTTCAGGTGATTATCAAGACACCGGCAATAATGGTTCAAATATTTTAATCTAAGTGTAGAATTTGGACATTATGCTGGTAGAATGTAATTCCATATCAGATAAATTTATTTCAAATAGCATGCACTGATACAGTATTAATAAAATTGAATAATATTTTGAGCACAACAATTTATTGCTCATAATCATATCGATTTGATCACACGGCTTCACAGTTTGTCTTGTATATATATTTTTTCTCTTTCTGTCTCGTCATCCTCCCCTTGGTGTTTATTGCCACTTACTATATTTCTGGTGTAGGCGTTGCGTTATTTCGACTGCAGGCGTTTGATGTTTAATTCGATGAACAAAAAAGATCCATTCCATCCAGAATCGGTAAGGGCAGGTTTAGATAAATGTCTCTAGAATCGGACCAAGAGCCTAACTAGTAAGATTTAAATGATGAAATCAAACTAATAATGAAAAAAATTACTAGTGAATAACTACCCACCAGTGCGTCGGTGGCACAGCGGTTAGGACGCTCGCCGACCATGTACATGGTCCGGGGTTCGATCCCCGGCCGATGCACTCCTTTACCTCGCTAAACCAGAAACAATCCTGGTAAAGAGGAAAGGTTGGGCATGGGGCTAGCAACCCCATCCTGTAAAAACTAAACACTGCCACAGAAACTTCAAGCCTTTAGCTTGGAGCCCTATGTTCCACTGGGAACGTGAAGGAAAAATTATTAAGACTACCCACCAGAATTTATTTTTAAAAATGTATGAATACTCTAAAAAAGAAGCAGTTGTTAATGCTTTCCTTGAAGCGATCATCAAGACTTTGAGCAACATAAAAGGCGCATTGAACTGACACTGATGAAAACATGAATTTTGTTCTTTATACAAATGCTGTAGAGGTCTACAACGATTTCATAGTAATGAATACCTATCCAGCTTTCCTGATCCTTAATGGATTTTGAAACCCTTATTAATTTCGCCTGCTTATAGTTGGAATGACTTTTCCTAGATTCCCTCCCCCCCTCCCCATTAATTGTGATAGGTACTTGTTCGTGGTGGTACAGGGAACTTCATCACCTCTGTCTTCTCTATGTTCATTTGAATTCCTTTCATCACTGCCTCATCCAACAACTTCATAATTTTCTTTTATCAATTTTCGAGATTATTCAGTATAAGACATAAATCATCTGAGGAATCCAGACCTTCTAGAGTCTTTTCGTTAGCCCAACGTATACTCATCTCCCCACATTCTCCCTAGTGATCCAGTCCACTATAATCATAAATATATCGTCGGTGGTAGTAGGCAGCCTCTTCTTACTCCTGTCTTCACTTCGCATGCCTCACTCTGTCATCCGTCCCCGAATCAAGGAGTCTCACCAAATTCAGTAGAAAAGAAGTTGGTTTCTTCTGTACTTTGGGCTTTCAGTAGCGATGGCACAGTGGTTAGGACTCTCGCCGACCATGCACATGGTCCGGGGTTCGAGCCCACTTACTTACTTACTTTACTTCGGCTATCTCCTACGGGAGGATGAGCCGGCTTCATGAACGTCTCGAATCATCGCTGCCCAGGCGCGGCGATCTGAAGCAAGGTTTTGCGATAGGGATATCCAATTCTTGTTCCACATACGGAGTCCGTAGACCGTTTGTAGCCCCAGGCACTCCATATCTCCCTTGACTGTACCAAGCCATGTCTTCAGCTGTCCGCCTCTGCGACATCGCCAAGATGGTAATGGCGAGGGATTTAGAACTGATTTGACCAGATCGTCATCTGGTCGGCGCAGAACATGGCCAAACCACCGAAGGCGGCGTTGTTGGACCAGTACTGGAATTTGGTTGATGTTGTAGCAACGACGACGCACTTCTTCGTTGGAGAGTTTGTCCTGCCAACGAACATGCAGAATGTACCTGAGACACCAATGGTCTAATACCTCGAGTCTGCGTAAATCTTCCGCGCGAAGAGGCCAGGTTTCACAGCCATACAGCAGAACGGGTCGTATGGAGGCTTGGTAGATCCGAATTTTAGTCCTGAGACTGATTTCTCTCTTGCTCCATAGAACGCTCCTCAGCTGTAGAAACGCATTCCGGGCGTTGGAGATTCGCGCATTCACTTCGTTTTTCGCTTGGCCGTTGGGGAGCATTATGGATCCCAGATATCTGAAGGATGGCACAATTTCAATAGGTGCTCCATTTAAGGATAAGATTTCATCATTGCTGGTGGATGTGTTCGAAAACATTTTGGTTTTGGAAGTGTTAATTTTCAAACCGATAGTAGACGCGAGGTGGTTTATCTGGTCGAGCGCCTGTTGCATATCGGGGAAGTTTTCAGCTAACAGCACGACGTCGTCGGCAAATTCGAGGTCGGTTATGTGAATATCGGGCGAAAGTTGGACGCCGTGGTGCTCGGTTAGGGCGTGCCGCAAAATCCAATCAACTGTGAAATTGAACAGGATAGGGGATGCTGGACAACCTTGCCGGACACCGCTGGTTACCTCAAAAGTGCGGGACTCTTCACCGTTCACTCGGACTCGAGCTTTGGTGTTGGAGTAGTATGACCTGAGCAGGTTGATTAGCTTGGTCGGAACTCCGTCGAGCTCCATTAGATACCAGAGTGCTCCTCGATCGACTGAGTCGAATGCCGCTTGGAAGTCGATGAAGCAAGCAACCGTCGGCTGTTGGAATTTGTCCCTGTGTTCCAAAATTCTTCGCAGTGTGAATAATTGATCAACACAGCCTCTTCCAGGTCGAAATCCGGCTTGATTTGGCCTTGTTCGCACGTGGCGTTCGGCCGCGAAGCGGTTCAGGAGAATGGAAACAAAAACCTTAGCAGCGATATCAATCAGACTTATGCCTCGGTAGTTCTCGCATATTGACCTGTCTCCCTTTTTGTGGAACGGTAGCAGAACTGAGGTGCTCCAATCGGAAGGAATGGTTTCGGACTCCCAAATTGAGCAGAACAGCGAGTGCAGTGCATCGATTAGCGCTGGAGTGCAGGCCTTGTATATTTCTGGGGGTAGACCATCTTCGCCCGGAGCTTTTTTGTTTCTGAGTGTGTTAATTGTTTTAGCTATTTCGGTTGGAGTGGGTGGATCGCAGTCAACTACGTAGGGTGTTGATGATATTAGGGCATTATTGGCTTTGTTACTGAGAGCAAATGCTACCCCATGTTGTCCCGAATTATTCTGGGGGCCACTATGAAGCAACCAGAATGAAGAATCTGTTCCAGGAACGGCTATTCGGCGGGAGCCATGATCGGGTAACCTCACTTCAGATAGACACGCTATGTCTACCTTGTAGTCATATAAAGAACGCATGGTGATAGACTGGCTACCAGGATCCAACAGCGTCCTAACATTCCAGCAGCCAACAAATAGTTGGTTTCTAAGTGTTAATTTCCCAGCTAGCTTACTTTTCACACTGGCCACCGGGTGAGCACAGGGCGCGTCGCTTACCGGGAACGCCGTAGCATGGTGAGAGTTGTTTGTAGGAGAGTTCATGAAGTTTCTTGGGAATTTGGTACGAGTGATGTCCCCAGCATCGCTCGGCCTTTTGTTTGAGAGTGCAGCTCTAGCCTTTACACAGCCAAGTGTGACCTACAAGGCAGTAGGAGTGGAGTAAGGAGTCCACTATCCATTGGCAGCCGGTGACCGGAGTTCGGTTCATACGCCTTTTTGAATGGGGCCAGGCATCCAGGACATCCAACAAGCCCTTTGTCCATACGTCTGCCGGTGAGCTCCGGTGAGCTTCATACGCCAGTCGTTGAAGGTTTGGAATCAGGGTTTAGCCATCTCCCCTAGACTGTCATCCAATGGACAGTCAACCCGGTGGAGAGCGCCGGGCATCCGCTTTTGCCCTCTCACTTTAGTAAGAAACACCTCCGCCACGTGAAGGCAGTGAGTAGGACTTCCTCAGGAGAGGCTATGTAAGACGCACGGTCATATGGGAGCATTTCAAGAGGTGTGCGGAGGGGTGGCCAGCCCGCAGCGCAAGACACCCACCCCCGACCATCCTGAGGCTTTGGAGGCCAATAGTTCGAGCCCACGCCGACGCATACCTGATATCTATGGTCGGCCTGCAAAATTTGGGCTACCGATATCCATGCTGAAAATCCCATACTTGTACCAAAACTACAGTGTGGAATCAAGCTGTAAATCAAAAATAAAAATTAAAAAAAATAAATAAAATAGTCCTACGCCCACAATTACTCCTTTTCCAAACTTATAATAAGTCGTTTTTAATTGCTACCTACTAGACAGCAGCTGGTGCAACCTCCTAAATATTACCTAAATAATAAGTACACTCAGAGTGGAAGGACTAGATAACCGTTTTGTCCTATTCTAGGGTTCTTCATCAGTTTTCATCCATAAACCCATCAAATATTAATTGACCTTCAGACAAAAGTAGACAGTTTAATATCCATAATTTAGTACAGCGTCAGTATGAATCATTGTGTTTGAATAAATACTGTGTGCGGAAGAAAACAATCAGATGTTGAACACTAAACATAACCATGATGCATATTTTAACATTAATAAACATTTTTGACCATTCCGCTTACCAAAAGACTCTCGAGATCTGGTGTATCCACTTTACCATCAGAAAGGTATATTTTCTTATCTTCTATTCTGGACTTCAACTCCATAATACGACTCTTTAAATAACTGGCTCTTGAATGAGGTGTTTGTATTGTGCATTTTTGAGGTATACTAGCCTGAAACAACGGAAAGATTCCTTGCGTTAACTACATTCTTATGTCAAAACTCGGCATATAACTTCATCTACAACATCTATAACATTTCCAATGGAAGCATGAAGATAAACATCTCATATAAAAGGATTGTAAAGAAACACTGAGTACCTAATGGATTACATTTACTTTTCTATAAATCACTTAAAACAGCGGGAAAAACTGATGCGTCAAAAGTAACTCTATTTAACTGAATTCCATGTGAAACGGAAGGCAATCGAGTAGTTTCACTGGACAGATCAGTGACGACAGTAAATTCTCAAATCAGACTTGTGAAAAAAGACAACACTGGAGAAAGTGAAAAAATTGGGTTAACAAAGGTTCTTTTGAAAATGAAACAGGACTCAGCAATTAGCTTGAATTGAAGATGTATTCTAGAAGGAGGACGACAATGGCAGCTTCGTAACTAAATCAACTTTCTCAAAGAGAACACAAACAAATGTGAAACAGAAGTTGCTCAAACTTCACTAAAATATAAGGGATAGACAGAAGTCAGCACGAGAAATAGAGTATATGTAAGGTATCAGCGATCGTTGTAATATAAACGTTGAGGAACAAAAAGATACTATCACATTTTCAAATCAATATATCCTATAAGAATACAAACTATACACATTCGCTAAACTTACTTTCAATTTACGGTTTGAATTAATGCTGAGAAAAGCGCGCACATGATCCAATTGTTTTTTCTTTACTCGAATGCATTATGAGTAAGGAATACTTACGATTAAAATGTCACTTCTAAAATACGATAAGTTCAGTTATAAAAAGATCCATATAAATTCTTACATGTCACAATTCGTTGTCTGAGTAGGCTTACTCGCCTCAATGACAGCGGACTTCAAACAATTAACAAAATCACTGTTTTCATGTGAACAATAAAAATTACGGATTAGTTGACCGATAACAGAAGAGTCTTCAAGCATACTAGTGATTAGTAGTGTGTTTAATTCAGTCTAAAATAAAAAATCAAGTAAGAGTGCCATGAAATTACTTCAGTTGACGCTCTGTTGGACTTCGGTAGTACGAAGAACGACGACGAACTGAAGGTTCAAAAAAACAAAACTTGTAACTTACTCAGTCTTAGACAAAAGACATAATGACTCCTTCAGACTTCCTAAATCTCTTGCCAGTTTTGGAAGATAATCAATTATAGGGCCAAATGCGCCTTTAAGTAAATACGTTTGAGTAAGTAAACGATTGAAGTTATCATCCATCTCTGAATACCTTTATTAAGAGAAGAAAGTTACTCTATAGTAATTTTTAAAAAATCAATAGTTAAACTTCATTGACTAATCAATAAGGTATAATTAGGAAGCCACATAAAATACATCTTCTAATTAACACTGGTTATTATGAAAGATAGTAATCTCAAGGAAGTGCATAAATTATTTTCCCCACGTAGCTATTCTTAGTTAACCTTATGCTGAGAAAGTCATGGCCGACTTAGTAAGCGAAGTGATAAGAACTGGTTGGAGAGTTACTGTTTATAAGATTAAATTCATTATTCATTGTGCTCAGGTTATGTCCAAATGAAATTAATTCTGTTATCCATAAAATTCGCTCTCGATCCCGGCTTGTAATTACTAAAAAACCTTTTAAAGACTTCGATAGCATCCCAATTTACATGTATGGACACATACATGAGACTGGAACTGTATTTCCAATGTAGGTCTTTGCACGAAAGTGAAGCAGTTCAACTTGCACATACAAATACAAGAAATTGAGAAAATAAAATAAACAGAAATGTGAAAGAGAAAGAATAATTACATGGAGAATAATGAGGATTTAACAGATCCAGTAGATCACAAAAAGTTAACGTATTTCCATCAATGAGAATGATTTTCCGCCATATCATGTAGATAAGTTGGAGTAATCGTTTCTTGCACATGAAAGTGGAGGAAACATGTACTCAAATGACTTAAAAAATAATAGAACTTTAAAATCTTACTAAACACAGGTGGCAGACCGTCAAAACAAAATATGCGTCGGTGGCACAGTGGTTAGGACTCTCGCCGACCATACACATGGTCCGGGGTTCGAGCTCACGCCGACGCACACCTGATATCTATAGTCGGCCTGCAAAATTTGGGCTACTGATATCCACGCTGAAAATTCCATACTTGTACCAAAAATACAATGTGGAATCAAGCTGTAATCAAAAATAAAAATAAAAGATGCATATTAGTCATAAGATTGGTCTCGAAACAGCTTTTAAGATTACATAAAAAGCTGACAAGGGTGAATACTACAATGTGGTGAGGCGAAAACCCCTCATTAAATTAGGCTTGTTCTACTTTTGTGTAAAATAACAATTTTTTGTTAAACATAAGATAACTTGATAATGCTCAACTGATTATACTGCTATTCCTTCACTTATCTGGGAAGCATAGTTTCAAGTACAAGCGTAACGGACGAAGATGTCAAAGCTGGCCAATCAGAATCGCAAAGGCAAGATATGCCTTCATCAACCTGAAACCAATTTGGAAATCTTCCACATTCAGCATAAGGAACAAGATTCGCATTTTCAACACCAATATGAAGTCGGTTCTTCTGTACGAGTCAGAAATTTGGACAGCATGTCACGAAAAGGATTTCTAACAAGTTGCAGGCCTTTATCAGTAGCTGCCATCTTCGCTGGTTGGCTCCACACAGAAGATCAAGTGACCAGAACGAATAAGCAACAAAAATCTCTGGCGATGAACAAACCAACCAAGAGCCGATCGCTCAAAAATATGTAGAAGAAAGTGGAGGTGGGTCGGGCATACATTGAGGAGGCCACCGAATGACATTGCACGCCAGGCCCTCGAGTGGAATTCAAATGGGTAGCAATGACAACGGGGGCATCCTAGGGTGACATAGAGCAGATCATGTGAGGAAGAGATGAGAGAGTTTGGTCAATCGTGGAGCCAGCTGAAGAAAATGGTAAAAAATAGAACAAAGTGGAGATGTGTTGTTGCAACCCTATGTTCCACTCGGAATGCAAGTGAATAATAATAATAATATAATAATGTCAATTGTGCGTCGATGTCATAGCGGTTAGGACGCTCGCCGACCGTGCACTCCTTTACCTCGCTAAGCCAGTAATGCTGGTAAAAGGGAAGGTTGGGCATGAGGCCAGCAACCCCGTCCTGTAAAATTAAACACTGCTACAGAAACTTCAAGCCACTAGCTTGAAACCCTATGTTCCACTGGGGAACGTGAAGAAAACAAAAAATAAAAATAACGTCAATTATTACCACCCTTACTCTTAAATCCCTAATGATTCTGTTTACCTTGTTTAGCCTCATTTTTTTCATTTCCGCATAAACTAAATTCACAAATAAGTCAGTGACTGCAGTGCGTGTGCAAATATATCACATTCTATAGATTGACTTCATTGTTTAACAATTATCCAAGTAGAGTTCTACAGTACCATGGGACAGTTGCTAAATACATTACTACCATATAGGCCACTCCAAATTACTGGATAAAGTGTATCTACCTAGCTTATAATAAGAACAAACAGTTGGTCAAGAGGCGACTATTAAGCAACTCACTAGCTCTTATCAGGGGAGGATATACAACTGTCTATCAATCATTAAAAACAAAAATGCTCTGCTCCATCTGAAAATAATACAAATCCACAAATTAAGGTTTGACATCAACCAGTGATAATAGTGGTTTACGTGTATTTACTTGCAAAGTGGGCAATGATTCATACCTGTTGTGAGAGGCCTAATGATATTACCCAGTGAGCCACAGCTGTACTATCGAAATTACAAAATAAAATAAATCAGATTTACGGGAAAAGTAGTACAAGGAAAAGAATATGTTTTGAGTGAGCTTAACTGTGGAAATACCCATAAACAAAATGAACATAAAAACGAAGGTAAAAGTACAACTACAAGGAAGACTAGAAAGAATACTTCCACGTTAGTAAAAACCATTTTGAGTGACGTCATTCGGGAACTCAAACTACTCACATTTAACATCTTAGGGAACTCAAGCAAGCCATCTACACCCCTATTTGTCTGTCTGTCTGTTTTCGACATAGAACTTTGCACAAATGTGCGGAAGTTCAAGTCGCCACATTCCGTGTAGCACGCGAAGCAAGAGAAGAAAGTACAAGAAAAGCATAATAGAAACTGTGAGCAGAGGTGTGAGACAAAGGAGTAATAAAGAAATACAAAACAGTTTCATTGAAGATCATAAGTCACAGGGAGTGGATGCATCTGCGCCACTGTGAACGGTTTTGAGCCATGTCACCAATTGTTTCCAACCATAGATTTTTACCGTCCCGAGGACCCCAACCTGGAAGTCTACACCTTTCTACGTGGCTTAGACCAACTGTTGTGGATTTCATTGACTGGTGCCAAGTTTTTGTTTGACCGCCGCTAGCTTTTTTCCAGCCTGACCCTATATCCGTTAACATTGCTCATCGAGGGAGGCGATGGCTTGGCATACGTAACACATGTCCTAACCATCTCAGTCTTTGTAACTTCACGACTTCGTCGATTGATTTCCCCTGTTTACCCAGAACTCTACGCCTAACCTCAACGTCGCTCACCTTATTATGCCACTTTACACGGGAAATAGAACGCAGGCACCTATGATCAAAGACAGCTAGTCTTTTCATGTCTTCCACTCTCAGTGGCCAGGTCTCACAGCTAGCCGTAAAGAAGGACGGAGCGGACTGATGAGCAGTACACCCGCCCTTTGGTCGATAGTCGAACATCTCGTCTACGCCAGAGTCGGCGTAAACTGGCAAATGCGAAACGAGTCCCCTGTATTCGTGTTGAGATTTCGTCGGAGATCAGCCCGTTGGGGCTGATGGTACTTCCCAAATAAGTGAAGCGGTCAACGTGCTCTACCAATTCACTTCCTATTTTTAAACTAGGCGTCGATGTAGTCCAGTCCTGTAACATCATCTTGCATTTGGCGGGAGCGAATCGCATGCCCCTATCCAGAGATCAAACTAACACTCAGGGCTTGAATGGACAAGTCCCGTGTTTTTGTCTGACCACACTCAACTCTTCCACAACCTCATTCCAAGTAACTTTGTTTTACACGTGTAGCACATCCTAGTTATCTCAAAAGACGAAGATTCATAAGCCCATCGACTAACTTTTTATTCATAGATAATACTAGCGTTGACTGCACAACAGGACACATCTCCACATCCAACACAGAGAACTGAACGGACGCGAATTTGATCAGTCTTCAACCGCCATTTCTAACGGCTATAAAGTGAGGCGGAATGAACTGCTTTATAGTACGCATGGTTTTTGGTGGACAGCCAGATAACATGCCAGCGGCAAAGATGACGCAAATTCTGAACAGTATCCACTATTATTAATTAACTCGGTTTTCTTTCAATGATTACATTAAAACCAACGTAAACTCTGACTAACCATATCAAATTCATGTATGATCTCGTTTGTTATACCAGTTTCAAATGTACCAAAAGAAGCAAAACAGAAATCCCCAAATATGCCACACAGATTGATAAAGCAAATAAAAACTAAGAGAATAAAAAGGTAAATTATGGCTCAAAAACAATAAAAAAATAGACTTTTTATAAAAATACACGAATCCACAGAGCAAGTGAATACTTGTTTAGTCAGAAATACGTCCCTCAAAGCCTGAGCTCAAAATTTAGTATGGAAATCACATCGTCACAAATGTACGTAGGCCTAAAATATAGCTTTGACGAGAAGTTTAGTTGAAAACATTCACAGCTAAGGCATTTAGATACACTCAAAAGTCAAGAACTTGTAACAGCCCGACATTTTGGTTTCAGTGGTGTCTACCATAAACTACAATACGTTGTTTGATAATTCTTCCGGTCAGACTGCAGTGGTGAATGATATTAGAACTGTGGAACTTGAGATTCATACAAAGGCAACAATACACTATAGATACCAAAGCAAAATAACCTTCAGTCAATTAATCATATCGTTACCATTTAGGGTTAAATATTGCTGCAAAAATATGACCCACATCCTGCATGTCACTTTGCACGTTTACGACGCTACAAGAAGTTTCATCTACTAGACATTCAACAGCCTCGACGCTGATATCGGGAAGTATCATCTTGGCTACGTCACTGAGCAACTCCGATTCCAATCTCTTAGTTCGTCTATACAATGTGGATCGGTGGCCTGTCTCTTTTTCAAACAAACCTAAAGCACAAGGCTATATTAAAGAGAATAAAGTACTTCTAAGACGTCTAGGGGTATTCACATTACTACCAGTTGGTACTGCTTCACTTTCAGTATCCACTTTATTACCTTAAAAAAGGTCATTACTGCACATACTTAACTCACCTAGTCAGGTGCACGACGAAGAATTTGAAATCGCGGTTTCGAAAGTCAAACTTTAGTTCGAATTCACATAAACAAACGTGTCAAAATAATGGAAATGAAATCGTCATCATTTGTCTTCATGCCAATTCACAGTGATTACAGACGCATTGTATAATATTCAAGCTGAAATGTTTCTCACCTCATGCAATCCCCATCTTAGTATGACTGCGCTACAAAACCAAATTCACCCCTTTCTTCCCATGTTTCCCCTGTTTCCCATATTTTCCCACATTTCCCACGTCTCCAGAAAATAGTTGCCCACGTTTGCCCACTTTTCCCATGTCACTTGAATAACTAGCCCACTTCTTCCCACTTTACCCATGTTACAAACGAAAACAGCCCACTTTATCCCACTTTGCCCACATTTCAACGGAAAACTGCCCACGTTTTTACCCACATATCCCAGGTCGAAAAAAAAGTAACCGACTGGGTGATGGAAATATGCGTATCGAAATATCAAACTAGTTCCTATTTCAGAATATCAATGATCCATTTGATTGTTGCTGTCCCAATGGTATTTTTTTAATCCCCCCCCCCCACACACACACCAAAAATTTTATTTTGGGTTGGATCCAACCCATTTCACGTCGACGTGAAATGTGGGATACACTCTTTACAACTGCTTGCATTTAAGCTCAGAAAGTGGTCAGAAGGAATTTAATCAATAGCCGTAAAAACCAAAGGACAATGGTCTTCGAGTTTTTGAAATATTTTCAAAACTATATAATCCTACTTACCACGTGAATTGCGCGCCCCAACTTCAATTGAATACACCGCAACGCTACATATCGTGTCACGCAATTTGAAGTTAAGTGAGTAAAACATCATGGTACCGTGTCGACTATAGGAACCAGAAAAGAAATTGCATTTTTTCAACAATGAAACATTCGCGTGTTTCAGTTATGTATTTTGGCTTAAACATCCACCTTCTAGATTATTCCAGTCTACTCCTCAGTCACCTGGGATAAAAGAGATTGGTCTAAGGTGTGTTATTCCTTGTATTGAACACGTGCATGCGTTCGAATTATGCCTGCCGTTAACTCAACATAACCCTGAAAAGGATGGGTATTGTATCCTGCTTAAAATAGTTAAGGTGTTAAGGGAAGATTCTTAATCAGGCTAGTGTGGTCAATGCGTAGAAATTCACTATCCAGTAGCCTTCTGACAAAGTATTACTGACCTAACCGGTACTTCTCAATCGCTTCTGGCAGTTTAGGAACGGTTCAAAATCACTGGAGGACTCCAGTACAAAAAACAAGTAACACGAGGGTCCAAAGCGCATTACCATCATAACATTTAGCTAAATAGCAGCTTTACGCATTTTTTATTCTGGGACTGAAGTTGTCCATTCAATCTCACTGACCAGCATCCTGGACCATTTTAACCTAGCTTCTATCAAGTTTTTTTCCTAGCCATGGGCCAATTCCATAAGTGAGGTAGTCGCCATCTTCATTTGCTGAGGTCAACAACCCCTGTCGTAACTTTAACGTTTGCTAGGTGACGGAAGATCATAGCCATACCATCAGGCGTATTTATCCATATTGTAATGACGTTTATCTCCAGACTCTTTAGAGTACTTAAAGTGGTCAACTACGAATTAAGCGATTAACCTGCTGTAAAATTAACCCTAATAAATTTTTTGTGGGAGAAACTAAACTTCAACCCACCCGTCAGTATTTGATGGAATTCGCTTAGAAGTTGAAGTAGTTCCTTCATACGGAAATGACATTCTGGGACAGGGGGAGTTGTGTTCAAGCAACAGCAATATTCATTGATTGGTAAAAATTGAGAGAATGTTTAATAACCTCACATTTTCGGACTAGTTTCACTTTCACTGAATGCGGTAATCTATGTAGTGGCTTCAACGACTGCTGAGGGGTATGAGAATCGATGTATATTACACAGAAGTTTATTCTTAGACTTTGTTGTATTGTATTTAAATGAAGCAACTGTGAATTTCAAGATTGATTTGACTTTCAATTAACTTTGTCTATTGGCTTGTTGTTTGAGTGATAAATCTTAGCCGTTGTGGTCTGTTAATAATAATAAGAATGTATTTCATACAAATTTACATGAAAATGCATGCCATTTTTACAGGCACGATCAAGTATGATATAATATCAAATCGTAGATTGTCTACAAGTTAATCATATTTCAGCTGTTAAATATTTGATGTATATATACACACTCATTGTCTGAACTAGGCTGTATAGTTATTGAATTGTACAGTTGTCCTCCAGGTTGAGCGGGAAAATCGACTTCGTTTCGTTTTCATCCCGTGGTTGTCGGCATACGATAACCAACCAATATTGAGGTAAGTACAACGTTTGCAAGGGATTGAAAGCTGTTTTAGAAAAGTAAAAGTGCTGAGGTGAATCAATTAATTGTAATGAAATAGGTAAGTGCAAGTATCATTAATAAATGCATTAAAAAAAGAAAACTCCCTAGACTGACAACGTTCATTTGCAATGCATAATGCTACACGTATATCTGGTACTATCATGATGTCCACTTTTGGTTTTAATACATTTTTTCCTCAGTTGTGCCAGTTGTTTTTGTTTTATACCTTTTTGTGCATTTAGTGCACAACTGTACCCTTCAGAGAGTATGAATATAATAAGTCATAAAGAGCTGTAAAATGTTAGGTTTAATGGGATATAATGAGGATCAAGTAAAGACGTTATTGGAAAATGAATGAGATAAGACATTGTGAAGTGGTATTTAAAGATCAGTCAATGGACAGCAAGTTAGTTTCTAAGATGCCCCATAAAACTGTGCAGATTCCACATGGTCGCATTTCAACAATAGGCTGGGCGAATAGTATATATTTAGAGGTAGAAGCATGATCTGTCAAGGCGTTCATTATTATCTTTTTCAAGATAAAGATCTAAGCCCTCATAAAAATCAGAAATATCTCGAGCCTTTAATTTGTGCATTGCTGTTCCTGCAGAATGGGGCGATTCACCTTAGTGACCCCCACCATATCTACTGATCAGCTAACGCCACCCTCCCACTGCAGCACTGTCTACCCTCATATGGTGACACATTTATGGAGGCGGAAGTAAATTCACTAGCTCACTAAATATCACTGTCACAAAAATTATTTGTGCAGATTGTTGGGATTCTCATGATTTGATTTTGATATAATACCTCCCATATTCCTGCTGGTATACCAACTTTCCTATATAATATGCCTTCCAAATACTGACCGACAGAGTTTCTGCAGTAGTCAGATAGAATTTGTCTTCGAATGTATACTTCGTTGACATCCTGGTGGGCAAGCGAAGTGAAGAAATCTATCCATACAGATGGGATGGTAATCACCATTCAATGCCGCTAAATAAAGGAACTCCTACTTTCAGTCAACCAAATGACATAAACTGTCATTGTCCAGTTCTTGCTACGCTGGACCTCACACTCACCCTGGAAGACTTTCAGAAACAATTGGTAATAACCAACGCGCTAAAACCAGAACACAGACTGGCGACTCGAGAATCCTTTATTCTTACGCCAATACGTAACCGACAATAAGGTTATTACACACAAGGTCTAAGAATAAATGTTGTCACATTAAATCACGATAATACTCCTGATAGTTTTCGATCTTCCACTGAACAGCGAACGATGAGACGGTGACTGATGGATGGATGACTCCCGCGAAAAATATGGAGCAGTTGGGTTTGAGCAAACAGCCATGAGTTGATCGTTCAATCGCCAACTACACCGACTGTCAGCCACGTCTCATAAACCGTTAATGCCCAGCTCTTGCTACGCTCGGGCTCACGCTGTTCCTTGAAGTTTTTCAGAAACGCTTAGTAATAACGGACGAAAAAACCAAAAGACCGATTGGCCACTCGAGAATTCTTCATTGTTACACCAACATATAAAAACAATGTTTTTACTAGGGTCTGTGAACAAATATTACAATAATAAATCACAATATTACTTCTGACGGTTTGCTGCTGACTTCTTTCTGAACAGCGACCGATGAGACGATGACTGTCGTGTTGATGCCTCCGCGAAAATTGGGGAATTTGATTTTGAGCAAACAACCAAGAATTGATCGTTCAATCTTCAACTCCATTGACACTCCCCGGCAAAAAAGGGATCCAACCCTTTTTTCCTTCACGACCAATGCACGTCGACTTGGATGCCATTGCGAGAACCTGGGTCACACTGACAGAGCTGAAATGGAAAACAAACAGAAAAGCCAACACACCACAAGCATACCCACAGCACAATCTCACACATCGCTGACGACCTGCGCCTCCAGAAAGAGACCTCCTCTTGACATCTTGCAACACAATCGCCATTTGCTAGAATGACTCTTGCAGAATGCAAAGTGACCATGGCAGCACCTCACGATACTCCACGCACATCCTCTTACCTACTCACTACCAATTACCACTGCAATCGCTTGTCACTCATTCTGTCTCAGTTCTAGTAGCGGTGACGCATGCGAGCCTCAGTCGTTTACACTCTTTCTCCCCGGCGTGTCGGACCGCACCTAACAATTATCTCCGTATGCATATCATTCTCACCAATAGCCTAGCGTCCCCGGCGTATACGACCCATCTGCTGTCCTTAACATCAATCAATTCATTCATGGATGTAGAAGACTCGAAACAACTTCGGAAGTAATCACGACGAAAATTTTAACAAAATTATGCAATAAAAACAAGGTACGAAAACAACGAGTAAACACAATGAATTCAAATAACACCAATT